TAATTGAACTGCTTTTATAATTAAATGATTTTCTGCAACAGCCTGCTCTACTAAGCGTCTCTAATTTTCATCATGAAATTCCCTAGAAAATCTGAAAGACGTGCTTCAAGGTTATCTAATAGTTGGTTGGCAAAAAGCTGTTCAGTTGCTGAGTCAGATTTTAAATGTTTTCTTTGAATAAAAAAAGAATAGATTGGTTTAGCGCAGACTAAAATGTTTCACATTTTTAATTCAGAAATGATATTGCAGTGCACCAAATGCATAGAATAAGTAATCCCGATTGACGTGTTTATGATAAAATAACGAATTTATCACACTTGCTTATAAAAAATAAGTAATAAATTATCTATATCTATAATTTCAAAATGTGTGTGTGTGTGTCTGTGATCGGATGCTGTTTATACATTTCCACAGCTTTCATCCGATTTTGATTAAATTTTTTTGTTTGATAGATAATCCTTCAGTGCCGATTTTGGGTCCAAATTGTTAGCAACAATGGCTCTCCACTACTTCCTGTCCATTATAACTCTCAGTAACGTTTTACTATTTACCATCTGTTCTTGGATATATATCTTCATATAAACTTTAATAAAAATAAATAGTTTAAATTATTACAATAATATTATTTATTATTATAAAGTTCCCTTTTCAGCACCCCCATTCAAATTGTTAACCCCCATTTGGAGATGTGCTTCAGTTGCACCCAAATGTTGTTACTAATATTGATTTTCGGCTGGGCTGATTTTAAACTTAAACTGCTCCATTTGAACGACAAAAATTCCCTGTAATGAAAGGCCTGGGTAAAGGCAGGTTATACTGCTAGTAAATAATAAATTACTATAAAAGTCTAAATAAGACAACTTTTAAATAAACAATCCTAATCCTCGTCATTTTTTTTTTTAAGCATTTCACCCCAAGCAAGGCGGGAAGCCACTAGGACGCAAGGGGTTACAGAAAATTTAGAGCAAGATCAGATAGGAGTGATAGAAGAAAGGATGAGGGTAGTGGATAGATCAAGGCAACTGGAGATGTCGATTGACATTACAACAATAGCTGGAGATTATAGCTCACAGGGAAAAAGGAATAGGGAAGGGAGTTCCACAGGCGAGAGGTGCGAGACATGAAGCTATTAGAGTGAAGGGACGGCTACATTTAAGAGTTTCGACAGTGAAGGGGTGAGAGCGGGATGCCAGCCTCGTAGGGCGCTTCAAGTCATGACGTCTGGGAACCAGCGAATGCAGCTCCTCGGAGCAATTTCCATGAAAGTATTTGTAGAACAGACAGAGGGAGGCGACGGCGCATCTGTGAGAAAGTGACTGTAGTCGAGACGCCAGGGCAAGGTCAACTACGTTATCATTTTATGTTACATAATAAATCTTTTAGCAATCAACTTTCTCGAACTCGGCATGGAGGACCGGCCAGCAACTCGTACCAGTTCAATACAGCAAAACAAAAACTTCCTATCATTGAAGTTTTCTTCGAGGGCTATCAGTAAAGAGACGGGTACCGCAATAGAATAAAGTAAATATATTTATTTCTTATATCTGGATACATATTCCAAGCCGCATCTAGACATCTTCCAGGGCGCACCAGTGCGCTCAGACGCACCATTTGAGAACGACTGATTTAAGTGATGAACAAGGGAAGAGATAACAAAAATTATTCGGTAGCAAGGCCGCTAGGATTCTCATATCATGGCTGATTACAGCTGGTTCTGGAAAAGAGATCTCTCATCAAGAAGTAAATACGCCAGAACGTCTTGTAAAAGAATATTTTTGCCTCAGTGAAAGCTTCATATGTGTTTTTTTTTAAATTTTTATTTTAAGGCATTTCTATCCTTATAATGTAATTTTAATCTAGTCCGAACTATTTGAAAACCAACTTCAACGTATGACAATTTTTAGTCCTGACTTGAAAAATCTGGAAAATGGCACATAGACTGTTGAAAAGAATTAGGAATTAATAGAAGAAAACCGATTTGGAATTTTCTTTCTTTTTATGTGCAATGTCCTTTCACGGCGTAGGCGCTCATGGCTCTCCACCTCCCTCTATCCCTTGCAGCTCTCAACAAGTTCCTTCCCTCTGCTTCCTCCCCCAGACCACGTTCTGTCATCCACCTGCTCAAGCCCGCTAGATATGTCACGCGTTGTTTTCCCTTGTCTCGCTTTATCTCTATTCGACTAGTGAATATCAGATTCTCTAGGCCCTCCTTCCTCATTATGTGTCCGAGAAACTTCAGCTGCCTCCCCCCTGATGTTAAGTATAAGCCTCCTCCTTGTTTGCAACCTCTCTAAAACCTCATCGTTGCTCTCACGCTTGGTCCATGTTATCCTTAGCATCCTACTGTAGAACCACATCTCCATCACCTCCAGTCTCCTCTTCATCTTTGAGGAAATCGTCTGCCGTAAAGAAAAGCAGATGTCACGTAACAGCTCAGTAATCTTTTCTTCGTTACCAAAGAAAACCTCTTGTCTCGCAGTACTCTGCCCAGCTTTTGGAACGTGCCCTGGGCCATCACAATACGCCTACGGATCTCAGTGTCGCACTTACCGTCCTCTGTCAAAACGCTTCCCAGATATTTAAACTTCTGCGTCTGCTTGATTCTAATGTTCTCGGCCTGCAAATCGCATTTCGGACTCATCCTCTTACTGATGACCATGCATTCAGCGCACCCAAATTACCTAAAATCATATGTCAGATATACCATCACTAAAATACGTCTCCCCTAGGGATTCAATACAATACCTTTTGTATACACCTTTTGTTTTTCATTACTGTATAACTATTATATATATATATATATATATATATATATATATATATATATATATATATATGTGTGTGTGTGTGTGTGTGTGTGTGTTTGTGTGTGTGTGTGTGAAGAAAAATATACGGAAAAACAAACAAAAATCCTAATATGCAATTATACTGTATTAATGTTAATATCATGTCAACGTTGGACGTTTCGGTCTCGTAGACCATCTTCAGGACATATTCATAAAACATAATTAGCATTAGACTATATTCAATTCGTCTAATGTTAATTACGTTTTATGAATATGTCCCTGACGATGGTTTAAGCACACTACTTCCAACATTTGTCCTTTGACTTTTGATTATATTAACATTTGAACAGTATAATTGCATATTAAGATTTTGGTTTGTTTTTCCGTATATGTTCTTCATACTGTCGGATCTATATCCATATATTTGCTTACATATATATATATATATATATATATATATATATATATATATATATTTATCGACTGGAATTCGAACTCGGCTCTGCGATTCCTCAATCCAAGCCGCTATCGATTACTCTATCGTGCCTCCTCCATTATATTCGCTTACGTGCTAATACCCTTGGGAAAGGTATGAATCCTCTTCCTCTCCCTCCAGCTATGGGTAAAATAGCAGGACAGACTGTGTTCTTTAGCCTTGGATGGCAACTGGTCTAGGAGAAGGACAACTCTGAATTCAAAACCTGCGGAGGGTCGTTTTGGAACCTTGTGGCATTCGGTGCACCAGGTCTCTGTATTCGTCCCTTCAAAAAGTGTGGATTGTCCTGCACGAAGCCTTCACGACTATAATCAAATCTCATGTGCCGGTGTCGGGCTGTCGGTTTCCTGGAAACTGATCTGCTTGACCCTCATACGTCGAATCTCGACGGGAGAGTCGATTATATATTATCGATTATATATTATCGATTATACAATTCGTTGAATACAAGGCTGAATCATTACAGCTTTTTTCACAATATATGATAAATAAGAGCAAATTATTGCTTTCTTTTGTTTTTAATACCAGATTGAACTCGTATTTGTGGCAGTCGTATTATAACTATTTTGCTTTCATGAGATGACGCATTGTCAACCATTATTGATAAGTTTGAACTGATATTTGCTTTGAGATTTTTTCGTTATAATCATTAAATTTTAGTCCGCCAACCTATGGCAAGTTGGAGACAACGCAAATCGAAAATAAATGATAAACGTACACTGAGATTAGAAAACATATTCCTTTGCTTAATGAATATCGCTTGTTCTCACTAACTTCCATAAGAAAAAAATTAGGGGGATAACTAGCTACCCAAGCTATGATTCCAATATCTTTTTAGTGTCATAATTTTTGTATGTTGTTTCGTTTCAAGCAAGATTCTGTGAGATTCTAACCGGTTCATTGAGTTATATGAAACGTTGATACATTATTCTCATATCTTGTATGTTTACTTCTGTTTTATATATATATATATATATATATATATATATATATATACAAACAAAAAGAAATATATGAATAGATAATAATAGTAAATTTCAGACAAATTTATAATAATAAATAAATAAAATAAAATAACAAACTAAAGGCCTTCTGTATAAATATTATCCTCACCAAAAACATAATAATGAGAATGTCTGGTATTTTCCTTCTATATATAAGCTTACATAATGAGGAAAGAGGGCCTGGAGAATTTAACACTCAGTTAAATCTAGAGAAGCAGACGAAAATAGCGTGTACCTTGCTGAATAATGTGTGAATAAATAGGCAGAATGAAGAAACAGAAAGATGCTAAAAAGTAAAATGTTTCTTAAAACAAGCCGCAGAAGGTCGTAGCGAGACATGATCGACCTAATCCTGAATGGATATGGCGTATAAAAAAGAAATTCCAATAAAAAAAATATACTTAATTAAAAAAAATGAATAAAAACTACCATTGTCGTCTTACAACTAACGCATTCAGATTCTTCATTGTCAGACGTTCAAAAGTTTGTTTTATATCAGTGCATGGTAATAATTAAAATAAACATCAATAATAAAGAATTTATTGACTTGCCGCTTAATTATTGATTGACAACTTTCTGCTTAAACATGCTGATGTATCATTTAGTAAATGACAAGGCCTGCTTGTTAAAGAAGGGATGTCAACTTGAAAAATAAAATTAAAACAAGCAAAAAAAATGGCGTTAGTTTGAAACTTCAAACGGTTATTTCGGCTTACGGCCCTATGAAGTTAAAACATCAGTACTCGTACGATCATCGAAGTTAAGCAACGTCAAGCCTAGTTAGTACCTAGATGAGTGACTGTTTGGGAATACCGGGTGCTGTAAGCGTGGAAATGAATGATGCCCCGGCATTGTTAATCGGAGAGCCGAGTTCCAATTCTCGTTGAGTTCATCAGATTCACTTAAGTGCAAATTCCCTTGTCAAAGCTATGAATCGGATATATATATATATATATATATATATATATATATATATATATATATATATAATTATTTATTTAAAAATATGATTCCAAATCGCTACATAAGAGGTCTCATGTTTCAAAACTAGAGCCGAAAACTTCAATATAATCCTTTAAATTAAATTGAGTTGAAAGTAAAATGGGCTCCGTTCCATCCTCAAGCGAAATTTTTGTTGGAATAACGTATATCTGAAATTTACTTGTTTTAAAATTGAAATCAAAATCCCCATGGTAACAGCTATGGTGAATTGTCTAAATTGGGTAGGCGAGTGTAGGGTGTTTATATTAAGTAGCGGTATAGAGATACTTTCAAGGTGTCAAGTCGGGGAAAGGTGGGGGTGTCAAAAATGAAACGGAAGATGTATTGGCCATTTACTTTCAACTCAATTTAATTTAAAGGATTATATTGAAGTTTTCGGCTCTAGTTTTGAAACATGAGACCTCTTATGTAGCGATTTGGAATCATATTTTTAAATAAATAATTATATTTATGCTCTACTTTTGTATCGAGCACTATTTTTAAAAAATAATAACTAAAATACTAAGGGACTTTGGATTATTTACCTAACCAGTTCCTTCCTATTTTCTATATATTTTTCACATATATATATATATATATATATATATATATATATATATATATATATATCATACAATCGGAATTAAGATAGCATGATGTAAATGATCATTTTCCCCTTGTAAAAAAAATTTTCAAACAGTCAATCGATGATAAATTTTAGAAATAAAAAGACAGGCAATGGACAGTAAAAAAAAAACGAAGGAAGAAAAACATGGGAAGAAAAGATGAAGAAGAGTAGGAAGACAGGGAAGTGGTGTAAGTCTTGATATGAGTGGTGGTCAGAGGGGAAAGGAAGAGAGAAAATGAAGGAAAAGAGAGAAAAAGATGACCTATTTAATATACCCAGCAGAAATCAGACAGTAGATAGATCAAATAAACCTTCAGAAATAAATGAAAAACAAACAAATATTATATAAAATAATAAGAGATAAACCAAAAAATATGAAAGAGAGGTAATTCAAAATTAAAGCGTATTAAATTAACAAATATGTCCGAAAGAATATTATGGAAAATATAAAAATAATAATATAAAGGGGAAGCAAAATAAATATCATAGGATGAATACATTCAAATTAACATAACTCAATTTAAATTTATATTAATTAATACCCATCCACTAGAGAAAAATTTATATTTGAAATTTAATATATAATATAGTAGAAAAAACAAAAAACTTAAAATTGGAAAAAAACAATGAAAAGTGCCACAAGAATAAGGGAAATAAAAGATGCCTTTTAGAATCAATAGATAATACTGTATAACAAAATAATATATAAATATATTAATTAATTAAATAAATAATAGTAACAAAAAAATGTAAATAATTATAAAATTTAAATAAATAAAAATATTACAAAACACTTAATATTAAAATATTTAATACAAAAACAAAATTAACACCATATATATATATATATATATATATATATATATATATATATATATATAACCAGTTTATTTGGATTTCAAAATTTATTAATTCTATATTTTTCTTGTAGGCATTGATTGCCTCTACGTTTAAAACTACTAGGAGTAGAGACAAACCCTATAATTTTCCAATCAATATGAGGATTCAGTTCTTTCTCCCTCAATTCCCAAACTTTTTTGAAAATGCAGTTTAGAATTTCAATTTTTGGTAGGAAAATGAGTGCCGATGGGTATACAGACGTTGCTTCCATTCTCCCGCGGAAATTCCAGTGTAAATATTGTGGTTGTTCTTGTTCTATTTAGGGTAAATGATTGCCTGGTGAATTACATTAGAGGCTCTGCATTTTCCGTCTACTGGACAGAGTTTGCCTTCTACAATTACATGGGGTATCCATACTAGGTGAATTGGTGATTTCCTAGAATTGATTAAGAACAACTTTATTATGGGAATCTATAATTTTATACATATTATTTGTACGAAAATAACTTATTTAAATCGTTTTTCTATTGAAGGCTCTTCTTAGGGAGGTGGTCATTTTTTAAATGTTTTTTATAACTTTTAATAATACTTCTCCTATGTTAATTTTAGATAAACTATAGAAGGTGGGTTGAGCCATATTATATTTCTTTTCTTGTTTCTACGCTTATCATGTTAAACCGAGTTCCAATTCCAGTTGGGTTCGTTATATTCACATGAGCGAAAAAAGTATTGCTGCTCAATTTGTTATAAAAGTGTACTGATTTTTATTTGGGAGTTCACTATTTACCCATAGTTGGGACCCTAACAGTGCTACCACCACGTTTCAGAGTGGACCTGGGAACAAAACTAATTAAAAGATAGTTCCAGGCTCCTCAAAGCCTCCCATTTCCCGATCAAAGGCTTTGATGCCAGATGTAGTTTATCATCATACCCTGGATGAAAACAAACAAATATTAACCAAATATTGCTATGAAACCATAAGTATGCATGCAAGTTGTTATTTAAAGAAGTAAGAGGGTACAAATGAGAAGGTTTAAAATTGACAAGTTTTTTTTTCATTTCACTGAAGTAAACATGAGAGTGTTATCACGTCCTCTATGTTCTTTCTTCCTTTCTTTTTCTCAGTAATACCAAACAGCGTCTCTGCGATGTCTTTATCCGTCTTCCCATGCGATCAAAACGGAACACTCCATTATTGGCAAGGTGTAACTTATGCGCTAGCTGAGTTAACAACAGAATTATTATATGATTCATAATATGAGGGATGTTCCATAAATAATACTTCTTTCTCGTTATTTCAACTGAAGCGACAACAGATAGAGCAAGGTTTTTATCAAAATAAAACTCTCCAAAAGTCACCACTACTTCTTATGAAATTTCTGCTAGAAAGTAATACTTCCTAGATATTTCTTCTGAAACTATAGCAGGTACTTGGAGGGCATTAACGTCGTTATATAATGTTGGAAGTAATTATGTGGTTCCACGGTCATCAAAACCTCCAATCTTCTGGTCATGCTGTCGGGTATACTTAATCGTCATACCCAAGCCTCTCCCAAGTCTAATTCGCATGTTAGTTGATTAGTTACTAAGAGGAGTAAATGTTTGATTAATTCTTATATTTGTAGAGGTTTTTTAGACATAACATGAAGATAGACATACTGTAGAAATGTTGTTGAACATTGTCAAACAATCTCTTTTCTCGTTCTTTTCTTAAATCGCGACTCACTTCAATAATTTTTTGTTATTATTATCATCATCATCCTTATTATTATTGAGAGAAGCACGTCAACAATATGACACAGGGGCACTAATATAAGAAACCGTTCTAATAAGGGTACCCCGGGCATATGCAAAACCGTCAAATGTACGCAATATATAGAACGATTTTAATAAAACAACAAACACTGCATATGTTTTGAGGGGGAGGGTTTGTTCGATTCGGTTGAGCGCATTACTCAGAGACTCGAATGTTGGATACGGCAATGAATGTTGGACGATTTCCTCAAAGATGAAGAAGAGACTCGAGGCGACGGAGATGTGGTTCTACAGAAGGATGCTGAGGATATAGCGTGTGAGCAACGATGAGATCTTAGAATGCAATGAGGAGGCTTATATTTAACATCAGGAGGAGGCAGCTGAAGTTGCTGGGACACATAATGAGGAAGGAGAGCCTGGAGAATCTGATACTCACGGGTCGAATAGAGGGAAAGAGAGACAAGGAAAAGCAACGCATAGCATATCTGGCGGGCTTGAGCAGGTGGATGACAGAATGTGGTCTGGAGAAGGAATCAGAGAGAAGGAACTTGACAGGAGGATTTATTTAGTAACCCAAAAAAAAGAATACTGAGCTGCTACGTGACATCTGTCCTTCGTTACGGCAGCGAATGTTGAATGATTTCCTCAAAGATGAAGAAGAGACTCGAGGCGATGTAGATGTGGTTCTACAGAAGAGTGCTAAGTATATCATTGACCGATCGTGTGAGCCACAGTGAGGTCTTAGAAAGGATGAAAACAATGAGGCTTATACTTATCAGGAAAAGGCAGCTGAAGTTCCTGAGACACATAATGAGGAAGGAAGGCCTGGAGAATCTGATACTCTCGGGTCGAATAGAGGGAAAGAGAGACAAGGGAAAACAACGCATGACATAGCTAGCAACTTTAAGCAAGTGGATAACAGAACGTGATTTGTGGGAGGTGGCAGAGAGAAGGAACTTGTTGAGAGCTGCAAGGGATGCAGGGAGGTGAAGAGCCATGATCGCCTACGTCCTAAAAGGGCACGACACACAGAAAATAACTTTTAGAACGGCTTGATGACTGGCGATGGGCGTATTTTTCCCTTATGTAAGAAGTAGCACAACTCAGTTTAATACGCTTTTTCATATCGAATAGTATTTTGCCAGAATGCCTCTAAGCACCTTTCGCTGACGAACCCACAAAAGAAAAGAAAGCTGTAACAAAAGTAGAGCGAAATATGTAACAAGCTAAAAATGGATTATTTGCAGGAACGTTCCACATCTTCTGAAAGACCATCAACGTCCGCTTTTGAGTTCCTTTGATGAGATAATAAAATAGGATGCTTTATTTTAAGTGAGCTTCATAAATAAATAAATACCAGTGCAAGAAAGAATGTGTTTCGCCAAAAGACTGTCGACCTGGGTAATTCTGTCAAATATTTTTTGTATTTGTAAGTATAGTGCTCGATATCATGTGATAAAGCAATAATAAGTAAGAAAATAAATTATTAGGTTCGTGCAAAAATAATGACGTAATAATGTCGTTTTTTGATGTATTTTTAACGTCAAAAAACGACACTATTACGTCATTATTTTTGCACCAACCTAATAGTTACTTCATATTATCGCTCATACCTCTAAATA